GCAAAACAAGTCGTCCAACACCGCGAGTGCATATCAACAACCCTGCTATGCTCAATCTGATTCATTTCCTCTTTCTCCTTCCTTTCTCGGGCTTGGAATTTTCCCTTCCCTTTCTGACTGCGACATTCTACGCCGGGCACAAAACAAGCCCTTCCGCGCTAAATGGCCGTCTCTTATCCATGATGGGCCTCATTGCATCCTTGCTCCAGGGTACCGTCGTACGACGCTTGCCTCCGCTCGTTACTGTCCGCGTCGGTGTGGTAGCCTGTACTGTTTCGTTCTTCCTTCTTGCTCGTGTATCTTCCTTACCCGGGCTATACGCTGCCAGTGGGTTTCTAGCCATCACTAGCGCTACTGTAGTAACCGGATTGAACAGCCTGGGGAGCTTCGAAGCATCAGAAGGAGAGCGTGGCGCTGTGCTGGGCCGGCTGAGAAGCTGGGGACAGGTGGGCCGCGCAACAGGGCCTTTACTTTTCTGTTCGCTCTTTTGGTGGGTTGGCCGCGAGATTGCCTATACCACTGGAGGGTTCTTGATGCTTGCTGTTTGCGTGGGGGTGTTTACGACGTTGAAGTCGCCTCCTATTGCACCTCCAGCTCTAAAGAAGAAATGATGATAAGATCTGAATGTCGTCACTGGCCTTGTTACTGGTGCATATAGACATGCGCATCGATGACATGGTTGCTTTGGTTAGAAACTCGTACAGTATACCGATAGACTTGATGGATTGAGTGGTCGGCTCACTGCTGGCTCAGTGGCCGGGATTAGCCGCTCTGGCATTGAATTCATTTCATAGATGAAACCATACTAGGTTTACACAGACAAGTGAGAGTTCACGCGGAATTTTTCGGTTGCTTCTAGATATAAAATACATCGTAAAGTAGAGAGTGTCTGTTAATAGAGGCTCGATAGCCACGTCATCATCGAGATTCACGCCACATAGCCAATGGTTTATATGTGTGTTGATACAATATGTTTGAACTTTCATACCGATAACCCTGTTAACTCCGTAAGCATTAAGTTCGATGCGTCGCATCGTCTGTGTGGATACCCTTAGTATCATATAGTTCTGAGCTTGTCTTCAGCCATAGTCTCTAACCGGTAGAGATAGGAATGCCACATCTACGATCAGCGATGTATGCAATATCTGTCCGTTGAATGCCAACGATAACCCTGACAGCTCTGCATCATCAAACCAGGCCCAGTCGCAGGCTCTAGAGATCCTCTCGCTTTCCCGATTAACCAGTCGGTCAACGTTACGAACTTGGCCGTTCTTTCCCAGCCAGTAGCATCATCAGCATGTTCAATCGTATGTGACGAAATGCGTCCCTCCTCGTCAAATGAGAAGATAAAGAGCCCGGTAAACTGTTCCTCCTTGGATAGCGGAAAGATTGGGGCATCGCCACCCAACAACACACTCAACCCTCTATTGATTCCATTCTTGGACGACGAAAGATGGCCGTTCCCCTGCGATGCGATGTGGTCTTTAGCTTCCGTTGATCTAGTGGCGGCCGACGTCTCAGAATGGTGGTCCTCGCCCCGAGGTTCCGTCTTCCACCGTACAACTAGTCGTTCATCTCCGCACTCATTGTCGCTAAAATTTTCCGGATCCAAGACTGTTCCTGCGCGAACAATGCGCTCGCTTAGTACTTGTAGCCTAACATTTCCCACCAAGGGTAAGCTGCTCCAGGCCACCGGTACGGTCCACAGAGCAGCACGGTAGAGGGTCCTTCCTCTTACAGTGGGAAGATGTGGGTGGGTCGACGGAAAGAGGTGAAGAGTGACGCTGGGAGATAGTATCTTTGGAGGCAACGGATTGATGAGGAGGGTGGGTAGGAGAGGAGAAAGGGTTCGAAGCGCTGCCGGAGATTGCGGCCATGGTCAGCATGTGGATTATAAGGTGGCGACGTACATTGCTTGCACAAAACTCACTTCTTCCCAGTTTCAGTATCCACTCATCCGGTGGTTTACGGTCATTGGTAGAGTTTCCGTTCAGCCCATCCGACACCGACGGTCGAAACCGCGTTTGCGAGAAAAGCGTTGGTGACAAGGATGTCCGCCAGGGTTCGTTCGAGATACCATGATGTGAGTAAGCCAGAGGGTGTGTGACAGGTGAGATGAGGTGTTGACGAGAACCTGGCCCTTTCCACGCGTTCCTGATGGTGAAGATGTATGGAGCTGCGGACATAGGGACTGGTTTCAGCATCACGGAGTAAAGCTTTCGGTCTGACACATTGAAATAATATTAAAGGACGTTAAAGGAAGAAATAAGAAGAGAATTCTAGGCTGCACAAGACGACAGCAGCCTTCGCTAAGCCATGTGTTGTTGAAGGTACATACATGATGGTTAAGAAAGAGGCCGAGATTGATGGATTTCTTTTCCCTCCACAAATGACGTCGCGGCCCACGTAACATCCACCAACTGGTCAGCCAAACTGATTCTACATGCCTTGGAACGTATCGCGCCAAAAATCAATAGATTGATAAATGATATCAACTCAGCTCGTCATACGCATAACAGAGTGATTATCACGCTAGTTCATCGTCGTCACCTTCCCCCATGTACCTTCTCTCCGCCAATTCCCGGATCTTATCCTCCAACACGCCCCGGCCATATCGCTCTGCGACCTTGACGGCGGCCTCAACCATCTTGCCATTGCGGTCTTTCATCATACGGACTAACTCCAGAGCCTTCATGCCTCGCTCTTCTCCTTCTCGACATTCAATTGCTAACATCTGCAAGAGGATCTTATCCAACTCGAGCTCTCTCCTAGCCAACTCGGCACGCTGAGCCGACGTGGCATTTGTAGATCCTAGAAGATCCTGAAAAAGTGAAAGCATAACGCTACCGCGAATAAAGGCTTCTTCGAATTTCCCACCATCACTCTGTGCAAGCCCTTCTTCTTGTTCCCCGACGGCTTTTCCTGGTGTCTCAGATATTGGAATCCGGAAGTCGAATTCACTGAGCAGTGGGCGAGGGAAGTATGGGTATTTATCACCTCCTTTCAGAATGATACAATGAAACTTGTCCTGTGCGACTGCAACAGGCCAATATGTTTCCTCTTTGCGACCGCTTACAAGGCGCTCCATTTGCGTGGTATCAAGGAGTGGAACCCAGCGAGCTTGGCCATGGTTACGCCAGTGCTGCAGAATGAGAAGGACACCCTCAGAATCGTAAATACATGGGTCCTGAATCTAAAGTTAGTATCTACTAAATGAGAAATTCTGCTTTGAGATCCACTCACTCCTGTATCTGAGAAGAAAACACTCTGCAGTTCTGTGCCTTCAGGAAGTGCTACCACATCCTCGTTTTGACATATTTCATCCCTTTTCACATTTTCGACAGAATACCGCAGTGTTGCTGTGCGGCCGTCGCTTCCTACGGGCCCGTTCCCAATAGTCATGACATAGTCCCTCCATGCGACGCATGTTACCGCTGGGCTCTTCTGCCTGTACACCTTGAACGGTGTTCCGAACAATGTATAAACGCGGACATAATCTTTCGTCGTCGTGACGACGATATAAGAATCACTGAGCGCCAGCGCTGTCACCAAGTCAGCAACGAAATGAAGGGCGACCAGTTGGGTTTCTACCTCTGATGAGTTCTCCCTTGGGTAGTTGTGTCCGCCAGTCCGCTCGCGTAGTCCATGTTTCATGGGGGCGATAGAATATAGTGGCACGACTGCCATCAGTAGGGTTGTTGGAGAAGAGAGTTCCGTGGTCATCTAGGCCAGTGAGCAAGGAGTCATCAGAACCATGAGGTCATTCGACTTACTGAGACACGCGCGATCGTAGAGATACGGATCGGTGAAGTGGAAGTCACGGTGGAGTTCTCGATCGTAAAATTCCACCGTCATTGTATTATGGGTCTCTTGGTCAACGGTCCAAACACAGCCCGTCAGATTTAGGCCTAGCCGAGTCAATTAGTATGTCATTAGGAGCCAACCGTGAATATTTGAGATGCATACAGAGATATCGTCTGTTACCTCGCCAGGGTGTACTGCCAGGCTGAAGCGGTGGGTGCGTTTTAGGTTTAGAGTAAGAGGTCAAAAGTCGCTTCTCAGCATGGCCATCGATCTCGTCCAAATGTTGATTTGTCCGCTTGCCAAATGCATTAACGCCTTCGGCGTATCCGGCGCCATCATCATCATCGACGAAGTCCTCCATCCCATGGTCGGAGCCAAGGATATCATCAAGAGAGTCAGGAGTACCTGCTCGCTGCTCAATAGATGCCTTCGGTCTGTTCGCCAATGGTCGTCTCACATTATCAGATATCTCAGCTAAAGACCCTGGAAAGATAGGTGCAGCCTGAAGCGGCTTCTGGAGCAACGGCTGGTATTCGCTTGACACAATTCCATCATATATGAATAGCTCTCCATCCGACGTTGTGAACGATAAAGAGTTATTAGAAGGGTGCCAGGACAGATTAATCACGTTCGAAAAATCGTACTTCTGTAGTACCTTTTGTGTCTTAGTTTCCCATAGCAGGACTTGACCATCTGCCCCAGCAGTCGCCAGAAGTGCGCCATTCGGGGACCAGCTGATTGCTGTAACCTCACCATTGTGGCCGCCAGAGAAGACTTTCTCCTTCTTCCACTGGCTCGTGGAGAAAATTGCAATATCCCTGGTGGTTTCTGCAGCTGCAAACGCCGTCCCATCTGGATGCCACACCACCCTCGATGTCGCCTCGTCCTCTGGCTCAAGCCTCCGAATAACTCCATCAAGTTTTTGTACGAGTTCCGGTTCCTCGGCGAGCAATGAATATATATACAATATACCGTCTGTACACGATACTGCGATATACCGTCCGCTTGGGTCAAAGGTAACATGTTTCGTTCCCTTAGTTTGTTCCCGAAGATACTTAACTTTCGTCATATCCTCAATTTTGACGATCTTCACCGTGAGTTCACTGTACCAAATCAGTCATCTAGATCCCCCAGAGCTATTGCGCACGGAGTACTAACTCGCTTGCTACTGCAACCCATTCACCATCATTCGAGACCGCTATATCTCGCACGGGTAAGGCACATCGAACAAGCAAGTTTTCCATTCGACCAGACTCAATCTCATACTGCCAAACAGTACCATCCTCCGCTCCCATGATGAATGAGTCATTCTGCAATAGTCCTTAGCATCTTACCAACTTCATCCTAGACCCTACATAACATACTGTAGCACCGATTCCCATGTGTCCATCAACACCCTCATCGACAGTCTTTGGTTCGCCATCTTGCCCGATAGTGTATATTCGAATCGCAGAGTTAGAACCACCAGTAATCACGCGACGGCCATTCGGGGTGTATGCCAATACTGTGGTCCCAGGGGTATCTAAGTTTGTTCCCAAATCAGCTACGCTGTCCATACTTAGGGTCAAGATATATGCAGACTTACGGGCTGGTCTGCCCCTAGGGCGGATGGCTTCCGAGGCCATTATAGAGATAGAGAAGCGGCGACAGGACAGGTATGGAAATAGATTTACCGGGAATTGAACATAATACACTCAGAAAGGTCAATCTGCCACGTCTGTCAAACTGAGTACAGCCCGTAGTTTATCTTAACAACGCAGGTTACTGACCGATCACGATTGGGCTAGCGGAGTGTTGCCCGACGCGCAAGAACGCGTCCGCGCGCGAGATGTCCAATAACCAAAATGAGTAATTTCCAAGGGCATAGGGCATAGGGTTAGGGCCCAAAAGTATTATTCATCGCAACTTTGACATGACGGAATATACTTCGCACACGCGAATTTCATAAGCTCCGTGACAATTGGGAAGACCAGCTTGTTTCCAGAAATGTAACCCATTAACTAAGCCGTAACAGACTTGTCGCAGCCTAAAGCTTTGTCAGCAAAATTTAGTGACAAATCGATAAACTACTAGATAGATGCAATGCAGCAAATACGGTAAGTAGAAGATAGATGACGGTACAGACCACCAGTCAATCTACACGCTTCAAGCGCTCGAGCACAAATCATTTCGTTGGTGCCCATACCTACCAAATCCCGCAGGAACATACTAGTGAGGTGCGATAAAGTTTCGTGCACGCTGATGGCCGAAGGTAAGACTTCTAGACCGTCGAGTTGGAACACACACTTAGCAGCTTCTGTGAGCTGTGGGATGTTCAAATGGCTAAATCACCCCCAAAATATGTGTTGACAATTTCTACGAAAGTGCAGGTAAACACACCCTCAGGTGTCAATCTTCTGATAGGGAGAGCATTGGCTCCACGACCGACTAACAATAAAGTGGTCAAGTTCCCTGATAGTGCTTTGTGTCGGAGCTCTTTTAAATCTCGGGTATTTCCCAGTGTCTTTGGTTGTTGACGCCAGTCGTTTCGTACTCATTGGTCTATATATGGATGTTTTGCACTATAAACTCGGCAATTTACGCAAAACTTAGGTCTCAGTCAGCATGGTCTTATGAACTACAATGGTAACTGAGACCCGGAATTTCTCATCACAAACGCATAATACCTGTCAATCATAATGCGTTAAGAGCCATCATCACTCCTTGCAAATCAGCCATAGGCGGGGCGAGATGCAGAGTGTTTTCCTCCTCTCATCAAAGCCACTACATACATAGACATGGAGCTTAACTCTGGTCAAAGGCGGTACCCATTTCGTGACTGTCGACGTTTCACAAATGTATTTCTCTATTACCGTTATTATCATACACGCGCAGTTATACGAACTCTAATGTCCTTCTTAGGTAAATAAGCACCGCTAGACTGTCTATGGCTTGGGACTGTAAACCGACTGCCATCCATTGGTTCAATGTCCCACATGACGATCACTGCGGCAGTGAAAGCCAAGAGCTGCCTTTCCGCAAATGTCCGTCCCTTACATCCAGACATGCCTCCACCAAATGGGTGAATTGTGTGCATGTCTGCCTTCTTTTCCCCGGTTTCAGGGTCGGTTATGATAAACCTCAGTGGATCAAACTGGCTGGGGTTCGAGAAATACCGAGAGTCGTTCTGGAGTACTCCATGATGGAGTATAATACTCTCCCCTTTGTAGAGTTTATAAGTATGAGGCTTTGGCCGATCACTATTTGTAGCGTCTTCGTTGGACTCTGCGATGGTCAGATCAGATGTGAGTTTTCGGAATGACATGTCGGCTGAATCCAAGCGAAGTGTTTCGTAGAAGCTGGCCTTCAATAAAGGGCAAGCGTTCAACAAGCCTTCAAGATCAAGGGAGATTCTGGGCGGTTCTTCGAAAGGGAAGCCAGTTTCCTCCCTACTTGGCCTGTGAGCCTTCACGTAAGGAGATATTTCTTTTCGAATCTCTTCTAAGAGAGTGAGATCGTTGTAAAGGCGGGCAAGGTACCAAAAGGCGATGTTGGAAGAGTTAACATTCATGGCCCAGAGCAAAGACAGGTGCCCCGGTGCGCTGGACCTTGGTGAGAGTCCCAAGTTCTTGGACATCCGGATGCGTTGTTTCAAAGGCTCTGAAACATCTTCGAGATCACGGAATTTCACACCAGGGTCTACCCCATCATCCCACTGGAGAAATGCTTGATGGTAGGCGGCAAGAGAGTTTAGTATCCGATCACGAGCAGCATACGCTGCAGGCACACCAGGAATTGGTACCCAACGAGGTACACCAATCGCTAGAAGGGGAAATCGATTATCCAGTGTCCAAACATCATCAAGCAAATTAGGAAAGGCTTCCAGAATTGCTTGACCCATGAGGGTAGTAGTTGTAATATTCCCGATGAAGCCCCTGACGAGGTCAAACAAGTTTGCCTCGCAGGTGGGCTTGTCGCGGTGGTCATTGACAACTTCAACATCGCTCCCACGCTCCCACAACGTTTGATCAACCACGCTCCGACTGAAGGTGACGAAATTTGGAACCTCGCGTTTTAAAAGCTGAATAGTAGTTTCGGAGGTTTCCGTTATGAATGGTTCTCGCATGAGCAGGTTGGGAAGCTTGTGATGAAATGTTTGATAGTCACTGGTTGACAGATCTCGTAGTGAGCCCCTGTCATCGCCAAAAGCCTTCAGCCCACGGTTGACTAGAGGAGCTGATGATGTGGCTTTGGATTGCATAATAGATTTGATCATGGATGGTGACACGATGGCATGGTGCTTTGTGCCACCCAAGAAGATTCCGAACACAGGTGCATTCATATAATCTCTACAGCGCTGGTCAGGTCCCACAGGGCTAATACAGAGGCAGATATGGATACTGACCTGGCTTTTTCCGTAAAGCTTACGTGGTCCCATATAAAAGAAATACTATGACCCAGCCAAGGGAACCAATACGGCAGCGTCTTCACTGATTGCGATTGTTCAGTCTTACTGTCAACGCGACTCCGGAATCCGCTGATGATACGTGTGGCAATACAGCAAAAGACCAGGATGGCTGCTAACGATGGCCATAACAGCTCCGATGAGCCATTCCAGGCATTTGATATCAGACCATCGGGGGAGATTTCATACTTTCCCATTTTCTTTCAAATAAAACAAAAGAGGTATAAGCAAAAGAGAAAAGAAAAGAAAAAAACAATCGGTACAGCGGAAATGGAAAAGGATATAGACTGGGCGAAGCACAGAGTCAGCGGGCCACACAGGGCCAAGGGATAGAAGATGATCAAGTACTTTCAAGAGAGCCCCACCTTTAAAAGCAAATGATGGTTTGAAGGCCCGTTGGGAGTACGAAGTCTAATGGAGCGTGATGGGGAAATCTTGAGAAAGAGGGTAGATGAGACTCCCGGTATGATGCGATACATTATACAGTATTATTACAGCTTACTCAGCTGGCGGTCACTCCCCATAGTTAAATGATTCCATTTGTTGCCATTGTTGTGTATAACTACCATATCTGCAAAGGTGTGGTCTAGCGAAAGGAAAGAAGAAAGAAAGCAATGAAGAGAAAGTGAAACCACCACCGTTATGGAAGCACAGCGGTACTAGATAGGCAGGTCCAGAAAGCCGTTTCAATGTCCACTACGGAGGATCATCTGGAGGAACGCACTCTCAGTCTCGTACCTGCTAATCTTGCTCTGCGAGTTATATACTTTTTGTAAGAGCCACTGAATTCGCGAGGTTAGCTCTCGGGGCTGCTTTGGCAGTGATCCAAGCAAACGCAGCTCCTCTTCATATTTCCCAATGCTTTTATTCTCCTTACTAATCAGCAGTGACAGAATCTCGAGGTCCAGCCGACTACTGAGTGTCTTATTCTCGGTCAACTTTTTGAAAACAGCTCGATAAACTGGTTTGCCAGGCTTGACCGTCTCAGGGCAGCCGTTGATAGAGACAACGGAAATGAGTTCTGCCTGCTCAAGAGCTCGAAGAGCAGCCTCACCGTTTTCCTTGAAAAGGTCTGAGAGAAGGACTTGGTTGTATGGCAGACTACCTTCTTTGCTATTCGCCAGCATCTTGATCAAATGCCAGACCTGCTCGTGGCTCCACTGGGCCTCAGTATTCGTACTCAAGACAAACATCTTGAGTATTTCAGATGTCGATTGCTCTATAATGCGATTGACCGCGCCTTTCGCATCCATTAGCTATGTATCATGCCAATGGAAGCGGCTAACCTACCATTGGGGGTTTCTCCCGCTTCTATACGATGTGCCATAAATTCGAGATCAGTCACCCGGCCTCCCAATATTTCAATACAACTGTCTAGATCTTCTAAACAATCTTCGCTTCTGGGTGGCTTATCCCCCATCCTTGCTTCATCGGCCAAATGGTTGAGTACAAACCTCCTGCCGACTTCAAGGGAGCAATCACCCAAGGAGATTGTTCGAAAAACCGAATTCGGCAGAGCCTTGCTCAGAGGTTTAGCGAAGGAAACATCGGTAGTTAGGAAAATAACGTGTGCAATGTTGGCACTTGTTAATCCAGCGGCCCATTCGGTGATCTTGTCATATATGACATTATCCTCGGAAGCATTGTGCAGGAAATTATCAATAACCACCACTGGCCGGAGCTCGGGATGAGCTTCCAGATACTCTTCGTCTGTGAGATGTGCATCCTTATCGTTCTTTTTCCTGCTGTCTAAAGTGACTCCCTTCAGAGCAGTGGCAGCGTTCTGCCAGATATTGCTGAGTTGTGCATCCAATGTTTCGGAGAACCCCGCTTTGGTACCAATCATGCCCTGTGCAGCTAGATCGATGAAGCTGCTAATGCTATTCATCCAGGAAAACACAGGCCGATAGCCTACTTGACTAGCTGCTCGTGCAATTTTTGCAGTATCGCCCCTGGCATCCTGTATCTGCTTGCAATCAATGACCACTTTGTATTTGTAGTTCTCAAGAGCTTGGTCCAATACAAGTTCCCGTTTCCCGGAACCCCGAGGGCCGTGTATAATGATAAAGGTCTCCATATTCTCCGTAAGCCAAGATTGCAGCTGAGCAATATCTCCTTGGCGATCCTCCCAAATCGCGCTGAGCCCACGAGGATCAGACGCCACAACACCAAAGCCGATGATGTTGGCCTTACTAGCCTGCTTGCGAATCCATCCTATAACACTGTTCTCTTCGACCTGGAGTGTTGCTTTTATCTTCATCTTTATGAAGAAGGTGCGAATAGGGTCGAAAACAGTCACAGTGATGGCCGCGATGAGTGCAGCGACGGCAGGGATTACTATCCTTGGATGGCTCAAGATCCAGTCCTTGATCATTGACAATTTGATCTTCCGTTCATAGTTAATCTTTAACCTTGTGCCAGACTTTCCGCAACCTTCTTGCTCTGGGACTGTGAATCCGTGCATACAGTTTTTGGCCGTAACCGCAAACTTGGGACGAGTAAATTCTACGTAGGCGTACCTTGGCAGGATCTTGGAATCTGACGGTTGTCTTTCAATATCTCTCAACTTCCCATAGCTGCGGAATAGTGAGTACAAAGATTCCGTAGTTAGATCGTTTGCCAAATCATTGGCGCTGCCCGGCAGAAACTCAACTCTCAGTCGAGGGCTCGGTATGCGATATAAATCCTCCACCCATGGTCTTCCAAGGACACGGGCAACCTTGACCTGCTGGAAAGGATTGAACCAGGGTCGGATAGGGTGTTTCTCGAGGTGATCCTTGACAGCCGTCTCGATATCAGTGTCTTTAACTCCCTCACTGCGAGTGTATTTCACAAATGCACCACCTTCCCTGAAGCGCGGAACGACCTCTTTGATCTCAACTTCTAGATCTTGGGGGAAGACACGGCGAATTATGCGCAGGGGATCGGACGCTGCGAGGTGCGGTCTGTCGATTCGTTTCAATGCCTCTTCGTACGATCGACTTGCGCGGAGAGGCCCTTCCAAGACCCATTGCAGTTTCGGGGGGAAAATGTCTGTTACAGTTCAAACTTAGCTTGCAATACTACCAGCATGGAATTTAAATTCAAGATTTCGTACTATTGATAAACAATAGTCCTTCATTTTCCTTCAACTCAATGTGTCCTGTCTCGAGATACGAAGTATGCGATGCGCTACTGAGGCGAGCGAGGGAGGGCTTTGCGACAAACAGGGATAGGGGTGGTCGCCTCCGGCGTAAGGATGTCTGATAAATTTGAGGTATCACTGCTGGAAACGATTTTCGCATCATTATTGTCGTCTCCATTAAGATGGTAGAGCCATTGTTGAGGAAAGTCGATACTGATCAACATCAAGGTTGGCCATGAGTATGACGTAGATGCCCGTATCATACACCCCAGGACAGCCGTGTTCCCGCATCTAACCCGGGCAAGTGTCCTGGTATTGTCATTTTCTGTAACTATGAAATTTACAGCGCTAATTCCTACACAATTGTCGCTTCAACACTGGAGCCACCTCCACCTCTTATTCTTGTCCTGATTTTCCGACATCAAGTATTCGTTTACACAAAATGGGCTGGTGGTGGAGTTCGTCTTCTCCTTCTTCCAAAACCGAACCGCAAATAATCTCTTCATCCGATAGTACGCAACCGGCGCCAGAGAACTCCGGGGCACCTCCATCGCAACCGCGGACATTAACTCGCGAAGAACGAGCAGATGCGGAATTGAGGCAATTGCTAGCCAGCCTGGAGGGAGACATCAATAAAGGATCTGAGGCATCGCAAGAGTCCCCATCCTCGGCAGAATCACCAGAGTCCACATCATCACCCCCGTCTTCCATAGCGCCCGAATCTCTCTACCCCGATACAATGTCCTGTCGTTCTGCATTCGACTACGCATTCTTCTGTCAATCATTCGGCGGGCAGTTCGTCAATGTTTACCGATATGGCGAGTTGCGGTCGTGCAGTGAACACTGGGATAATTTCTGGCTTTGCATGAAGACCAGGACGTGGTCGGATGGTGCTCGCAAGAAGGCCGTCAGAGACCATTATCGCAAGAAGGCCATCAAGTATAAGACAGGGCCTAGTAGTGAGGATGTCTGGGATCTTCGGACAGAGCCAGTTCGGAATGCGTTTGAAGGGGATTTCGCTGCCCTAGAGAAGGAGATGCAAGCAGAGGAAGAAGCACAGGGGGCTGGCGTCGCTTAGGTTCGCTGATGCTTCTTTGTTTGCCTGCAATCTCTTGTTTATCAGTGTATGTAGATTGAATTCTGGATACCTGTCCCCTGCACCTCATGGGACTCTGTATAATGTTCATTGTTTTAATGCCATGTCAAGCAGCAGTCATAGACCTGGATGATGGAATTTTCCCTTGAGAATTGAGAATCTATTGTATAATATGAGAAATACAAGTTAATGCCTAGTGTCTTTATCGATAACACGTCCTTTCATCCTTTGTCCATGCTCACTAGGTTGTATCATATAAAAGCGAGGAAAGTCAGAAGTCAAAGTGGCAGAACTTAAGCTACAGATCCCCCGCATGGTCTCTAGAAGCTTTTCGCTTTGTCCGTCTGATGGATTCACGAATATACCACGCTATACATTCCTTTCTATTCCACCGTGCTTATCGCACAAAGTCACGTCGATATGGACAGTCAAATGCACGACCAACCCCACTACTACCACCCGCAGATCAGGCTCATAACCATATTCGAAGGCATAGATTACGAAAACGCGTTCATTGGGGTGCGGTGGTGCAACTCCCTGACCGTCCCAGGAAGGGGTACTATCCAACCGATTTCGACGAGAGAGCATCACACCGCAAATCCATTCTCAAGCCCCAGACATCATTGGACCGATCGATGTATTACAAAAATTTATGGGCAATGATCGAGCTGGCTGATCAGCGGTTGGAATATCTCCACGATTGTATGAGGGCGGCCGATGACGAGGCTGGCTTGGAATGGATCATAAAGGTCGACGACGAGTTCATGGGTCGAGAGGCAAATCGAAGGGCAAGAGTATCTGCAGATAAGACCTGGAGGTGAAGATACAAGACCCTGTAGAATCACCCCGTGGTAGATGAGATTAGCCTCTAAATGATAGGCACATTTTGCAGTCTGTTCTCCCGTGCAGATATTATTCTTCATTTGGTGCATTACAAAATCTACCAGCAAGGCAAGTCGCCATGTAATGTATCAATCCCAACGATGTATGTCATCAAATTTCCACTATATTGCTTAAGAAGTAGATATGTACAGCAAATCATAGACAAGATACTCTGAATAGCAAACGCTCCGACCCCATTTTTGCATACCAGTTTAATGGGAAAGACCGCTGCAACAAAACGCAAAGGAGCACAGTCGCAAAGCGGGAGAAATAGCAGGAACTAAAACGGTACAGGCTTGAATGAACAAAACAGCAAAGCACTTAGTAAACCTCTCCGGGAGTGTTGCGCCATTGTTGCTGACATGTCAATGTAACTGCAGTCGTGGCTGTTGATCAATCGCCATGATACAGATTTTCAGCCAACATGTATTCAGCTAGTTAGGAAAACTTTTTGATCATAACACAATAATCTACAGTCGTTTAATCATGAGCCATACCACCATGGCTAGAACATGTCCAGCTCTGAGAATCTGAAACTCTCAGAGAAAATCATGCGGAAACAGCTTGTTCGGTAGACTGTCGAACCGCATCAATAGCCGGCCTACGAACAATGCCGCCAGTGACAGGAAGCTGAGAGCTAATGTCCATAAGATGAGTGTCGACTTCGCGGGCACACTGACGACCCTCATTGATACCCCAGACAATGAGAGATTGTCCGCGACGGCAATCGCCAGCAGCAAAAACACCAGGGACGTTAGAGGAATATTGACCGGGGGGTGTCTTGACATTCTTGCGAGCATCACGTTCTATCTCATCACCCAGAAGACGGTCTTCAGGCCCAAGGAATCCCATGGACAGCAAGACAAGGTCTGCAGGGAAGAACTGTTCACTGCCCTCAACTGTCTTCATATCCCAACCTCCAGAGGCGCTCTTAGTCCACTCAACGCGAACAGTGTTGATACCTTTAACATGGCCGTTGCCATCGTCGACAAACTCCGTGGACATGACACAGAACTCACGAGGATCCTTGCCCATGTGCGTCTTGACTTCAGAGTGACCGTAATCAACACGGTAGATGCGCGGCCATTGGGGCCATGGGTTGTCGCGAGCACGTTCTGGAGGCGGCTGGGGAAGTAGCTCGAAGTTGGTAACAGACTTGGCACCGTGGCGAACAGAGGTACCAATGCAATCATTTCCAGTATCACCACCTCCAATGACAACAACGTGCTTATTCTTGGCGGAGATATATGCGCCATCGGCGAGGTTAGAGTCAAGAAGCGACTTGGTATTGCGGTGCAAGAATTGCATGGCAAAATGTACACCTTCCAGCTCTCGGCCGGGGACCTTGAGATCCCGAGCCACTGTGGCACCAGTAGCGATGATAACAGCATCATTCGTCTTACGCAAGGAGTCCAAAGACACTTCTTCGTCAGGGCCCACAGCAGTGTTGGGCACAAATCTGACGCCCTCGGCAGCCATCAGATCGACGCGGCGTTGCACGACCTTCTTGTCGAGCTTCATGTTGGGGATACCATACATAAGAAGACCGCCAATACGGTCAGCACGTTCGTATACGGTAACGCTGTGGCCAGCGCGGTTTAGCTGGTCCGCAGCTGCGAGGCCAGCTGGGCCGGAGCCAATGATGGCAACCGTCTTACCGGTACGGATCTTAGGAGGACGAGGTACCATCCAGCCCATCTCGAAACCACGGTCAATGATGGCACATTCGATAGACTTGATCCCAACAGGGTCTTCATTGATCCCTAGAACGCAAGCACCTTCACAAGGGGCGGGGCAAACACGGCCAGTGAACTCGGGGAAGTTGTTGGTCATGAGCAAGCGGTTAAGGGCATCCTGCCACTGATTTTGGAAAACAAGCTCGTTCCACTTGGGAATGATGTTAGAGATGGGGCAGCCAGTGTCAGACTGGCAGAAGGGAACACCGCAGTCCATACAACGGGCAGATTGATACTTGAGCTCATCCTCAGTTAGACGACTAGAAAGCTCGGCCCAATCCCGTGTACGAGTACCAGGGTTCCGATATTTCTCACTGCGCCTGTTATACTTCATGAAGCCCCTCGTCTTGTCAAGGATGAGTGCTGACCGCTTCTTCTCGGTCTTTGAATCGCTCACGCTATCCTCAATGTCAAGCATTTCAGCTTTCTTGGCCTCTCCCGCCCTGGGCTTCTCAACGTTGGAAGGTGTGCTAGGAAGCTGGAGCACAGTAAACTCAGCCTTCTTAGCAGCTTCGGCCTTGGCAGCTTCCTCCTCCATCACTCGCTTGTAATCGGTAGGTAGAACCTTGACAAAGTGAGGAAGAGCACGGGTAAAGTCCAGTAGGATGCGAGCAGCCAGTTCCGACCCAGTGTAGTGGTGATGGTCCTCAATTAGACCGCGTACAAAGGCAATTTCGGCGGGATCTTCCAGACCGGAGACCTCCACCATCTCCATATTTACTTTTGAGTGGAAGTCCTGGTCCATATCGAGGACGTAAGCAATACCACCGGACATACCAGCAGCAAAGTTACGGCCAATTGAGCCAAGAATGAGAACACGACCTCCGGTCATATATTCACATCCGTGGTCACCAACGCCCTCAACGACTGCAGTAGCACCTGAGTTACGGACAGCAAATCGCTCAGCGGCCACACCACGGAAGAAGCAAGTACCCCTGGTAGCACCATAGAGGCAAGTGTTACCCACGATGATGTTCTCCTCTGCTTTGAAGGCAGCACCACGGGGAGGGTAGATTATGAGACGGCCTCCCGATAGGCCCTTGCCAATATAGTCGTTGGCGTCACCCTCAAGCTCAAGAGTGATACCCGGAGCGAGGTAAGCGCCAAACGACTGACCAGCAGAGCCCTTGATGTTGGCGTGGATTGTATCCTGTGGAAGACCTTCGTTACCAAAGCGGCGACTGACCTGGTAAGACAGTGTAGCGCCCAGTGCACGATCAGTATTAACTATATCACACTCAATCCTACAGGGAAGACCCTTCTCAAGTGCAAGCTCAGACTCTGCAATCAGCTTATTATCGAGACGAATGTGCAGACGATGGTCCTGCTTGCGGACATTGTATGTAGCAACCCCGGGGCGCAAGGAATGAGCAGGAGTCAGAATGAGAGAAAGGTCTATCCTCTCCTGCTTAGCAGTCCGGATGTCATCCCTGGTCTTGAGTAGCTCAGCTCGCCCAACCATTT